GTAGGATATCACGGAATCGACCATAAACCACTCTCATCAATATAAACCAAGTATAGTCAGTCCTATGCTATGTTATATACTCTCCTATTCCTCTCAGCACACCAGTGTCCACGCAACATGCATGGGTATAAGTACAGAATATGTGTCCGACACACATACGCAATTGGACACTTGGATCCTCCACATGTGACGATGGAAGAAGAAAATCTTAAGTTTGATAGAAAATAAGGGTATCCTACTTCTAAGATAGATGAAATCCCCCTTTTAACCTCATCTCATTAAATTCAAAAAAGAATTGATATATAATTAAAGAACAAAAGTATCATATGTTACACTGTTAGCATAACATATTACACATATCTATTGCTCCGGACGTGTCCATATACTGATACACAACTCTTGGACACATCTCCGACATAGACCAAATATACTAAGATTTGGAATGCAAGATGGTCCACCATTAAGACATGCACCCGCATTCACCCCCGACAAAGTACCATTCACTCGCCTTAATTGAGTAAGCGCCAATCTTCTTACTCTGACTGTAGTGCATCAATATAGATGATATATAGAAAGTCAACAGTACACTTGCTGGGCAATGTCCCCACCTCCCACCAATACATATAGTCTGGGTCCCATTCTTTAGTACATTTTCTATCTACTTAAAGTTTGGGTCCAAGTCCATGTAATGTGAGAAAAGAAAGAAAGAGAAAGGTGGCGATGGGGGCATGAAAGTGTGGTTATGGAGGAATGAAAGGAAGGAAAGAAAATAAAGAAAGAGAGAGAAGGGAAAAATAAAAGGGTAAGGTTATTATTATGGGGGCAACTCTTTTTTGTTTTTTTGCCTGAATATTATGGGGGTAACTTCGTCTTTTCACTTCAAAAAAAAATATTAAAAAATTACTAAAACAAAGAAGGCAAACAATGACATTTCACACGAAAAATTAATAGTTGTAATGACACCTATTCTGACAGGAGCGTTAGTGTAGATTTCCGCAAACCTAGTAGCTTGGGTGTAATTAAGGTCAATCAGCAATTTGCCCTAAAAATAAATATCATCATCGTCCTTGTCTTTATCCCATATGGATAAAGTCGGGCACATGAATTCTCTTTTTTCATTCTATCCTATCATACACCATGTCTCCTCTAATATATAATTGTTTAAAATCATTTAATATTATGTCATCCCATGTAAGTTTTTGTTGGTTTCATTGTCACTTACTTTCTAGGCAAACAACTCCTCTTCTAACCAATGCATCTTCTAAACTACGTTGTATTTAACCATACCATATAAATCTTGTTTCCCTAATTTTTTCATTAATAGGTGTTATTCCTGGTTTTTCCTTCCCTCGTGCATTACTAGTCTTATCCCTTCTAGTACCCCTGTCATCCATCATAGCATCCTTATTTCACTAGGGGCCTGTTTACTAACAAGAATGATTCCTAATTTCTGCTGCCAATTCCTAAAATTGAGAATCAAAAGTAAAAATCGGGTTTAGTAAAATACTTTCACTTTTTTGTTTTGAGAAAGTAATTCCTAATTTTGTGAAAAGAGGAGAACGTGAGAAATCCTCACTTTCTATATTTTCTACACTGTTTGTAGAAATCACTTTCTCTACTGTAGCACTGTTTATAATATATATATATCCAAACTAATCATCTGTATACCTCCTCTCCAACACGGTCATTGCCACTGCCACCTCCTTGCCGTCGACAACCACCGCCATTGCCGACAACCACCACCATCATCGCTCTTCTCTTCTCTCTACCACCACAAACTGCTACCAAACACTGTCGAAAACTAAAACCCCTTCATCGTTTTGAAAGAGCAAGGTTAATTTGAAATTCCTCCTCAAAGAAGTTAAAATCAACGGAATTCTCTGCCGAATCAGAGACCCTGGTGATCTCAAATGCCACCGCCGCCGCCGATGGAGTTCGAGTCGCATCCAATGAGAGGAGAGAGAAGACATAAACATTTTCTCTCTCTACTGGTTTAACCTAAGCCCACTTGGCTGAAAGTAGATGAACGGCGGCGGCAAGCAGTGTCTCCAAGCTGAGGCCGGACGGACTGAACATATCAACGGACCGAATGGCGACGAGGTTGTGACGATGTGGGCAAGGATTCCGGCAATTGGGCATCTTCTACTCTGCTTTCAAAAGTCAAAAATCTTTGAAAAAGAAAAGAAATGAAAAGTCAACAAAAAAGAAGAATAGACTCACCTCTTCTTGAAATCTCTGAAGCATAAGATGCTTCTGTTCAAGATCCACGGTGTAAGGATCAAGCTGACCCTCACCCTGTAAGGCAAGCTTTTGATTTTGACCCCTAAAGATTAGACCTTCCAGGTCCAAAAATACCAGAAATAGAAAGATTAGGGCCTCAGACTAATCTTCCCAAGAATAGAGATCGTGTGAGCCAGTCATACCATATGTAAGGGGTATAGCTCTGGGAACGGGCTTAGACGATGGATCAACTAATGGCTCGCCGGATATGATCAAGTTAATCCGGTGTTGAGAGACCCAGTTAGAGGAAGAGAAAAAAAAAAATAGAGAGAAAGAAAGATAAAGGAAGCAAAATTAAAATCAAAATTATTAAACTTCCTTTCTGATTTTTACTTTCAAAATATTAAAAATAAAATTTTCTTATTAAACACCATTTTACTTTCTATTTCATTTCAAAAAAGTAAAAGTATGATTTTACTTTTGAAGAGAGTAAAAATAAGAAAGTGAAAGCGTTAGTAAACGGGCCCTAGATGAATGCACTGTTCTATTTCTCTTTCAAAGACCAACACTCTACTAGCCTAGTAACTGTCCTATATGATTGCCTTTTGTCCTATAGAATAGAATTATAGAACTAGTTTGCCTCCAATTTATCTACCTTCCTCCAATCCTACTTGCTACATCACCATCTATACCCATCTTTTTGTAACATTGATCCTAAATAAGGAAAAAAGTTAGTTTGAGTAATTCTTTGATATTGAATTGTAATATCTATATTGTCATCTTCTAATACTTTCTCATATTTACATTCCGTACATTATGTCTTAGTTTTACAATGCATAATTTTTAAGCCTTTTGCTTCTAAAGTCTTTCTGCATGTTTCTAACTTTATTGTTAAAAAATCCTTTAAAGTGTCTAATAAAATTATGTCATCGACAAACAATATACACCATGGAATGTTTTCTTCGCCATTTCATATAATACTATCATAAATAGGTATAGACGTAACATTGGTCCTTCGTGTAATCCTACTTTTAGAAAACTCACTAATTTCTTCACGTGTAGTACGAACTCTGGTTAATGTCTCCTAAATAAGATCTATATGTTTTACAAAGGTTTTATTTCTTTGTAGAGCCCACCAAATTATGTCTCTTAACACTCTTATCATATGGCTTCTCTAAGTCTATGAAAACCGTGTATAAATATTTTTGTTTACTCTTACATTGTGTTATTAATAGTCTTATCCTTTCCCATAGTTTAATTGTATGGCTCATTAATTTATGCTGCGTTTGGTGTGCAGGAATGGAATGGAATAAGAATGGAAATGGAATGGAATGGTCATTCTCATTCTATTGTTTGGTTGTAAATATGAAATGTGTAGGAACTGAATAATAATAAACATTCCAGTGTTTGGTTGGACCAATTTTGAATTTCAAATGGAATAAATTTCAAATTAAGTTCTCCAAAATATCCTTATTAGTAAAAAATAAATTAAATTAACAAAATGACATTCTTCTATAATTTTTTAAAAATAAATGGTGGCAGTGGCAGTGGTGGATGGTGGTGGAGGTGGAAAGCAATAGTAGTGTAGGTGATGGTGTTGGTGAAAGGCGGCAGTGGTGGAAGGCGGTGGCAAGAGTGTTGGTGGTGTTGGTGGAAGGAGATAGTGGTGTACATGGCAGTGGTGGAAGCCAATGGAGGTGACTGTGGTGGTGGTGGAAGGCAGTGGAGGAGGTGGTGGTGGAGGTGGTGGTGGTGAAAGGTGGTGAAAGGAGGTGGCGGTGGCGGTGGTGAAAGGCAGTGGCGGCGGTGGTGGTAGAAGGTGGTGGTGGTGGGTGGTGAAAGGTGGTGACAGAAACCGGAAGGTGGTGGCGGAAGGCGGTGGTGATGGAAGAAGGCGACGGCAGTGATGGTGGTGTAAGGCACTGGCGATGGTGGCGGAAGGCGGCGGTGCTAGTGTAAGACGGTGACGGTGACGGTGGTGGTGGTGGTGGTGGTGGTGCGGCGGCGGCGAAATGTGATGACGATGGAAGGCAGTAGCGGTGGTGCTAAAAGGTGGTGGCAATGGCGATGGTGGCGGTGGCGGTGGTGAAAAGCGGTGGTGAAAGGCGGTGGCAACGGCGATGGTTGGGACAAAGGAAGGCGGTGTCAGTGGTGAAAGGCGGTGGCGGTAGTGGAAAGCGGTGGGTGGTGATGAAAGTCGGTGGCGGTGGTGGAAGGCGGTGGTAGTGGCGGTGGTGGAAGGCGGTGGTAGTGGCGGTGGTGGTGAAAGGTGGAGGTGGTCGTGGTGGAAGATGGTAGTAATTTTTGGACTTGGAACATGAGGATTTTTTGGGAAGTTCATTTTTTAGAAAAAATTACTTGGGAAGAGAATGGACATTCCATAACTTTAGTTGTGGAATGGATTTTCATTCTAATGGAATGGCCATTCACACTTTAAATTGCATAGCAAACAAAGGAATGGTTGGAATGGGCATGTACATAGAAGCTAAAGGTACCAAGTCTAGGCCTCCAAAATTCCCCTAACATAAAACTACAAGACTCATCTGTAACGACATTGATGTGAATCTGAACCAGGATAGCTAATCGATAACAAATAATATGTTTCATAAACATCAAACCAAGTGTAGCCTATCTAGGTTAGAGAAGGAACATGTATCAGAGAGAAAGGAAGGGAGATGATCTTCTCATAAGTCCCTACATGCACGTAACATTCGTTGACAAAAGCAATAATGAGCGAAGTTGTGAGTCAACTTATAAGCAAATGAAATTCAAATCCATACCTCATCATCCAATTTCTCACTCGGCTTCTCAGCTACACAATGATTCAAATAAGTGCTAGCAAGAACATCTTCTGTCTCACCAATTTCCTTTAGATCACTGCCCTCTTCAAGATGAGTGGAATGATTTTCCATTTCATGTTCGCCAGAATTAACTGAACCAACCACTTGTGTTTTCTGCAAATCAGTAATATCATCATCCATAAACTGTGACATAAGAGAAGTACAGAACTCTGTTCCAGGATCCAGTGATTTCTGAAAGGGGCACTTCAAAGAATTCCTATCATTGGGAGAATCAAAAATCAATAGATCACCAGCATCGGAAATCAAGGTCTCCCAATCACATCCTGCTCCTTCCTTACCTTGTTCAAGTTGGCTTGTTCCCTTTAAATGCACTTCATTGCCAAACAAGCTTTTATCAGAGACCTCTTGATGAAATGGACCTAGTGATGTAGATGTGCAAGTCAATTCAGACACACAGTTGGTTTCAGTGCCGCACTGAGGTGTTGAACTGCATCCAGCGATACTATAATCATTGCCTAAGTTTTGTGAGAGCTCTGTTACAAGCTTTGAACATTCAAAAGGTGCTTCAACAGAAGCTTCTTTAAAGGAACTTCCTTGATCAAACTTCTGATGCTCAATGGAGTTATAAGTAACATCTGTAACCCCTTCATTCGTATCCACTTTGTTTCCATTCTCAGCAGAAAACCCAGAGTTTGATGGATTTGAGAATTGATGCCTGAAATGAAACAATATTCATTAGCAAATACATATGAGTATATAGAGCTACAACAAAGGCATATGATTTACAAATTGTATAAATTATTTAAGAAGCATAATGAGTTACCTTCTTAAGAAAACGGAATCCTTGAAGGAACTGGCATGTGGTGAAGTGAAAACGGATGGAGGGGATGCAAAACTAAGCGAATTAAATGTCTGAGTAATGTGCATGGACTTAACCGGCTTGATGGGAGAAAGACCGTTGATAAAGTTAAAGACAGGAGAGTCCTGCATGTAGCGGGAAAAAAAGATTACCTTGAGCACTGAAGAAAAGAGGGGAGTGAAAGAACAATGTGATTGACACCTATGAATTTTAAATGTAAAATGTAAATCTTATAGTGCATAAGAACTTCAACTATTAAATAAATCTTGCGCTATACCTATATACATCAGAAACTATTGCAAGTTGCAAACAAAGATGAAAAATAACAGATGTGTAGACTATGCATATGTTCTCTAAGATGATTATAAACATCACAAATGTTTATGAACAAAGTAATTTGTCACAAGATTTGCTTGAAATCATAAGAAAATAAAACTAACATCCAAGTTCACTAATAACTTATATACAATAATAATAATAATAATATACATATATATTAAAAATGAAACAGTATTACAATGACAAAAACGAGGGTAATAAGCAAAGAAATTGGTCACATCCCCACTAGAGTTGCATCAGCCAAACAGAAGTAAGTTATCTGATTTGAGTGAATAAAAGGCAGGTCCAAGGAAGAATGTTGGGACAAAATAAGAAGAAATTCCACAAACTATTTTATCACACATGCACACATGTATATATGCCAAAACATATTGCATGATTAACAGACTGTACCCTCATGTTACATACTTACATTCTTACATCAAATATCACCCAAGAGGGGATGTGAAAATGACCAATTTCTCGAATATAACTTCCTTATGAGAAAATGAGTGGGGGAATTATTAATCCGAGAACACAAAAATAATAAACTCAACTTGTTCACACAGTAAACCCCAAATATTATGTGAATGGGTTGAAATTCTATAGACGAACTACTAACAAGACATCCAAAAATTATGAAGTGAACAGAAAATGTAGATAACAAAGCCTTACAAAGCACAGAATTAGTTCATCCATTCATAGACTCGCAGAAACCCCACTATATCTCATAACAGGACTCAATAGACGGATGAATCTCGACTTAGTGAACTCATTTTCCAAAATCAAACGAAAAAATTTTACAAGAAATTTCATTGCATCATGTTTAAGTAACTAAATTACCCAAATCAAATAAACAAACCCTACTTCGGCCAAATGTATAGATCAAGCCGCATAGTACTCAAAAAAAATTGTCAAGCCCTCGATCATTTGGTCTAACTCAACATCAATTATCTTATGAAACATCAAAAATAAGAAACAACCTTTCAATCCGCAAATCCAAAACCTAACTCACCTTGAAAAAAAAAAAAAAAAAATTTCCACCAAATAAACCAAACCCAACACGTAGAACGCTACCAATCAAGAAAAAAAACAAACAAACAAATAAACTAAAATTAAAAGAAGTACAAAAGTGGAACCCAGTGGACCAAAATTGTAAAAAGATGCAGACTTGGGGAGCAAATGACCTCGAATTTGGAGATGGGAGTGGTGATCTGGTTCCGCTCTGGAGTGTCCATTGCAGGACCTCTTCCGCAGAACTCACCATCAAACTCTCTTTCTAACATTCTATAGAAATCGATCAGAGTACTACTTTCTCTTTCTATATATACAGTATATTAATATATATGGATTTTTAATAGCCCCTTTTTCTCTATCTACAGGAGTAGTCTCTCTCTCTCTCTCAAGTCTCGAATGATGAGATTCAAGAAGAAGCGGGAAGGCGGTATAAGGACAGGGATTTGCTCGGTGCACTGCTGAGAGTGATAAAGACCCGCCTACAAAAAAACCCCACAAATATAATACAGTATATATTACTGTAATAATAATAATAATAATATCATCTTACCTGTCCAAATTTTACCAAAACAAGATGACACAAATGCAGAGCTGTAACGTATGCTTCCAGAATCTCTAATTTAACCAAATGTATTTTTTCAGAACTACCCTGAAATTTTTGAGTTATTCTTCTTACTTGACTCTTACCTTTTGTTTTGTTTTTTTTTTTTTTTTTGCATGAACCCCATTTAACAAATTTTTTTTTTTTTTTTTACAAAAAAGCCCCATTGAACAATTTGACACAAGCTTGCAATTCAATTTTTTTTTTTTTACAAAAAAGCCCCATTGAACAATTTGACACAAGCTTGCAATTCAATCGCCCCCCCCCCATCCCCTTTCTTGTTTTTTTTACATCTAATGAGATTTTACCAAATCTGTATTAATTGCTTCCCCCCACCCATCCCCTTTCTTCTTTTTTTTTACATCTAATGGGATTTTACCAAATCTGTATTAATTGCTTCGATGGTACTTAAGTCATCGTTATCATCCTCGACTTTATTTCGTATGGATGGAATCAGCAACATAAATTCTCTTTCTCCATCTTTTTGTATTATACACAGTCTTCTCTTATATATAATTTTTTTAAAATTGTTCATTATTAAGTTTTGGTCGGCCCCTTTTATCGCTTACCTATTAGGCAAACTACTCTTCCTCATCTAACCCCGGTGCATTGATCATTGGGTCTATATTAAATATGACCATATTACTTCAGTCTACTTTCTCTTCTCTTATATTTACTTCTTAAAAAAAATAGTAAATAAAAATAAAATCATTAATTATTATGTAAGTTTTGGTTGGCCTCTTTGTAACTTGCCGGAACATCTAACTGGTGCATCATTGGGTCACGTTAAATCAACATCTTTATGGCTTACCTTCTATCATCGGATCTATATTAAATATGATTATGCCACTTAAGTCTACTTTCTCTAATTTTATCATTTATGGATGCTCAGCCTACTGTACCCCTCACAATTATCACACGTTCATTATTAATCTTATCTCTTCTAGTTACCTAAGTCTTGAAATAAAATCTAGTCTAATCTTTTATATATTTATTATTATTATTTTAAAAGTTAAAGCAAACACACACCTATCATCCACGTGTCTCTAGTGGGACTCAAATTCTTAACCTCCTATTTGGGAATGATAGATCATACCATTGGACTAGAGACCCTTTTGTTAATCTTTTAATTATTATTGGTAAATTATAACTAAATGCTCCTAAAGGACGTCATAATTCTTTTACTAATTTTTTTCTTAATTTTTTTCTCTCCATTTCTTTCGATTTGTTTTCCCATTTTCCAAACTTTTTGCTCCTCTCATTTTTTTCTTTCCGAGTAAAATAAAATACCATCTAAGATCAAAACATATACTTAAGGGCTTGAATTAAAATAAATAAAAAGTACCTATTTTGATTTTTTTACAATTGTAGAGACTTGGGATTTTTTATTTAAAAGATCCCGTTATGGGTCGGTATTGTTTTTGCCTTAGAAATTTGGTTCTTGAGTTTTCGTATTTGTTCTTTTCATTTCAAGTATTTACGGATTCATTGTCTCTTTTGGTCGAGTTTTTTTAGTAGGGCATGTGGGCTTGGGCGATGGGCATGTAGGCCCTGAGTGAGCCGAGTGCTCAGGATTTGTCAGAACCTAAATAAATTCACTGGGGACCTAATGGTCATTAGTATAGTAGTTATGGGTGTTATGTAAATTTCTAAGGGGCTTAAAGGAAAAATTGGGTTTTAAAATGGTGGAGGGCAAAAGGGTAATTAGAGGTGAGAGAATGGAGTATAAAAAGAGGGGAGTGGGAGAAGAGCCCATTTGGCTGGCTAAACCCCTAGCTCTCGACTCTATCTCTTTACAAAGCCATAGATCCACATTCTCTCTCCTAATTGGAACTATTTCGAGTTTGATTCCGGCAAAAGTGTAAGAGGGAAAGTCGTTTACCATGTGATTCTCTACAAGACCGCGATTTTGGATTTTTGATTGGGCAGATTACATTTCAGTGGAAATGGGTTTGCACCACTCGTACTCCAACTTCAACCTCAGTTTTGATCTACTTGGAAGAAGATATTGAAGGAGCTCTAAGAGGAAAGATCTTGGAATAACTCTTATTACAATGGAATGTGGGTGTAACCTGAGCAAAAAAAATGGAAACATGGGACACATGGAGGATTTTCAGTAGAAGAACGTGGTGGTAGATGGTTATTCCAGTGGAAAGTCGAGCAAAAAAACTAGCAGAAACGTGGGAGAACATGGTTTCACACATGTAAGCACTATAAGAAAACTAAAGGAGACATGGGACACTAGGTAGAAATCGGACGTTACACTTAAAAACATCTTAGATTATATTGGTACCATCTGCAATAACTGCTATTAAAGAAATCTATAAATAGGACCCTTAGTGTTACTTGCAAACCTTGTTCAACACATAACTCACACAACACTTGATTTATCATTTCAATTTCAGCAATTGCCTTTCGTTACCTTTTACATTTCAGCCATGTACTTTCATTATGTTTAATTCAAGTCCTACACTTTCATTACTTTCCTTTAAACGCTTGCTTTTTAATTCCTTTCTTTCAGTACAGCACTTCAATTTCTTTCCTTTCCTTTCCATCCATAAGAAAATCTTGAAGTCCTTTGTCACTTAAAGCAAAAGTGAACATTTAAAGGTGGTCATTTTAGACCTTCTTTCAACTGCTTGATCCATTCCATCTTCCACTAGAATATAGTTTGGATTTTCAACTGGAACTTCTGGAGTTCCTGGCATGCGCATGCTTCGAACAACACATAATATTTTTATTTAGGCTAAACATATTGGCACACTCGGTGAGACCACGGGTAAAAGATCTTTCTTATGGCAAATTTACACTTTGAACGTGAGCAGTTCTTCCGAAGGATGGTCAGAGAATATGAGCAATTATACCAAATAATGATCGAAGAACGTGAGCAATCTCATCGAGAACTCAGGAAATTCATTCAAAAGTCTCATCAAAAGTTTCATGGAAAATGGGGATTTCACATTGTGCCACTAAAAGTGGTAGAAGGAAATGATTTCCAACAACAGATGCAAACTCTTTCATAAAATAAACAACATGCACCACCTCTACCAACAACCCCTCAATAGGTTCAGACTTAACCACCACTTCCAGCTTTGGCTCCACCTCAAAGTAAAACTGTAATCACCGCCATTAGTTCAAGTTTCATTTTAAGTGGAACGGCAAGCGCGTAATCTTTTAATAGTAGTAGTTCAACCACTTCCATCACACCTGCAGGTTCCACCTCAATTACGAAACCTTCCACCACCAGTAGTTCAACTGTAATGACCTATATCTCCAACAATAGAATAAAAACTCCTAATTAATATAATAAAATATTGGGCAAATTTCTCAAAACCCCCAAAACTATTAAAAAGTGATCATAAAACCTCAACCAGTTTTAAAAACCCCCAACAATATAACAACGTTATCATTTTACCCCAACTATGTCAATTGACCCCGTTAACCTAGCGCGTGGTTAACAAATGCTTTGACAAATTGACTTTTGTGACGAAAATACCCCTGCTGTCACGTGTGCCAAACAAGTGATGTGTATTTAAATGTGTTATACCAAAAATACCCCCAAGCTTGTAATAGTAAAAACACATTCACAGTGTCATCGTCTTAGTTCATCTTCTCTCGTTCAGATGAAGATTTCACAATGTCATCGTCTTTGACTTCTTAATTGGTAGTAGCTTTTTGAAATAATAACCACTCAATCATCAATTCCAATCTTTCAAAAGCAACTGTAGAAATTAAATTAGGAAATCTTCCAAATATATATATGTATATATATATGATTACTCAGTACATTATCATCGGTGGTTATTTTTAGTCCTCTTTCGGATTCTTGATTATCGTGTTGGAGTTGATTAACCCTCTTTTCGAGCTCCACTACGGCGCGATCTCTCTCGTAAATCTTCTGCCTGAGCTTCACCACCTCCGATTCCAGCTTCGACACGCGAGACGCAATGGCCATCGACGTTATCTTCCGTGCCAGATCCAGTTGCTTGTACGGATCCATTGGGACCACCGACAAAATCCTCATCCGATAGATAAAAGTCCAGTCCACTTCCGGTGCTATTCGTGCTGCTCTGAGACATATCTCCCAATTAAGAACCCTAATTCTCTCTCTAAGTATACGTGTGTGTGTGTAAGAATTTCAGACTGAAGAATGTGGAGAGAGAAAGTTGTTTCAGAGAGGATATAGACCTGACGACTTTATCAAAAAGGGATATAGAAAGTTGTTTCAGAGAAAGTTGTTTCAGTTGCTTTTGAAAGCTTGGAATTGATGATTGAGTGGAAAATGGGTTAAGAGATGATTCATGAAAACACATAGAACCAGTAAAGAAAGACAACAGAGAAAGATTGAACAAGGTGGGTCCTGCGTCTGAGTGAGGAATTGATCATAAACCCGGAACGGAGGATTTCACTGAGAACAGGAGACATGAATCTCAAACATCAATAACAAGAGATAAAGAACAAGCATCAAGATTTAGAGAGGTAGAGAAAATGGGTTCTTTCTTTTCCAGAGAAAGAATTAACCACAGATCTCAACAATAAAAACTACATATATATTTTTTTTTTGTTGATTTCTGCAGAATAATCAACTGGGTTTATTGTTATTGATTTCAAAATCCCAAAATCAGAGCCCAAAATAGCAAAATCAACCAAAGAAATCAGAACTGGAAAAGCAGAGAGAAACAGAGCCTCAGATCTATAACAAAAAATCTAGAAAGAGAGAGAGGCAGCAGAACTTGGAAAAGCAAGATCTACAGGGGAGGGGGAGAAGAGAAGAGAAGAGGAAGAGGTTTTTGAGGTTGCAGATGGATGGGTCGATTTATAGAACAAAAAGGTGGGCGAGAAAATGAAAGAAAATGGACAGGAAAATT